TCGGGGGGTGGGGTGAGGGGGGTGAGGGGGTTTGGGCGGCTGTCGAGTGTTGTGGTGTCGTAGGGGTTCGTGGTGTGGTTGCGGGTGTGATTGTTGCGGTGGTGATTCTGTTTGGGGGGTTGTTGGTGGTGATGGTGTTGGTATCGGTAGCAGCGGTGTTGTTGGCGTCGGTAGTGGCGGACGCGAAGAACGAATCGTACAAATCGGCGCATCGCTTGGCCAGCTGCTGACCCGCGCGGTCGTTCACTGGAATGAGATCGCCTTCTACCAGGCGCGTGAGAGTGTACTGGGGATGCATGGACTGGGTTCTCTTGTCCAGATCGTGGTGGTGGAGGATCAGCTTTTGGTTGCGGTAACGCTCGTATTCTTGAAGGAACTGCTCCGCTGTGGGCTCTGGAAGGGGGTGATCATCAGCCATGGTAAATGCTAAATAATAAATCGACGTTTGAGTCCAGTCGTTGATGGGGAAGAGGTCGATTGTGGGGGGGAATCGGGGATGGAAATTGTTGAATACCGGGGTCAGTACTCGGGCAGGAAAAGAATCGGAAAGTCTGATGGCGCTGGCTGGCCTAAGCGCCTTGCAAATCAAAGCAAAGAATAATGCAGTGAATGGACGGTCAAGATATACTCTTTATTTGTTCGGGCTCGACATGTGACGCATGTGGGCTTCTCACTCCAGATCAAAACATTCATTTGCACTGTGTACACACATACAAGGTTCTCAAGATAGGTCACACAACATGTGGACAAAGTACCTACCTAGGTACCTATGGATGCCTCGACTTGAATTGGTCAGAATCTAAAGGAAGGACATTGGGTAGGGATCCCTGGGTAGATGATCCCTGAGTAGGAGATCCCTGGGTAGGGGATCCAGCCTCCTCATACCCCATGAACGGGTCGCATGCCGTCACTGACGCTGTCAGTAACGTCATCTTCATGCAGTCACCAAAAGGACCAAGACTCACCTTTCCACACGCTGTGGTCGTGGGCAGTTGAGGCCGGCGAGCCCACTATGGGAGCAGGCACGCCCGGCAAGAGACCCAGGGCCCGAAGGGTGGTCGGCGAGGGTGGCTCGAGGCGGAAGGGGGCAGGGGCAGACTGGGACTCTTGCGGGGCGGCCGCCGGAGGGAGGAGGGATGCCCGAAAGGGGCCGACCGACCAAACGACCGAAGCGGGAGGGGAGGGCGAAGCAACACGGCAGGGTTGGGGTGTGACTGCTGCCAAAACCGTCCAAAGTCAGCCATGTTCCCCATTGTGTGTGTTCGTCTGATAAACAGGTGTGTCCGTCTGATGAACAAACTTTTTGGCACTTACCTGGTGCCTGCGTGATGGGGAGGGGTGCAGCCACAAACACAGGAGCAAAGGCCGCACCGCTCGTCAAACCCTCCTGGATGGGCATCGGGCCTGCTTGAGTGTGGCTGGTCGTGGTATCTGTTCATTGTTAGCTTGGTTGTGTATCCCAGGGCGGAAGGCTATGGATGAGTTCATTGTTCTTTACGAACCCTCGTCAACCTCTGCGGGCATCAAGCCCCGTTGTTCGCTGCGGCCTCGGTGGCAGTTGTCGTTGTGCTGTCTGCTATCGCAGTTAGCTGCAGTCTCTTACCTGCACACAGGGCTCCGCTGTCTTACTAATTTGTGTAGGAACAAAAGCAGTTCCTGTGGCTGGGCCGCTGGCCGGAGAAGAGATAGAGTTCTGGGCACTCATTGTACCCGGGGCAGGCCCCATGCCGTCCTGGGCGCTTGTCATTGTGATGTCTGGTATCACCGATTGTTAGTTCTGTGTCTTCATGAAAATGCAGGAACCGTCACCCAAGCCCTCTTGGATGCTCGTCATTGTGCTTTCTTTTTATCGGTTCGTGATTGACGCTCAAACTCTTCAAAACAGCAAACATGGTTGATTGTGCCTTGGCTTGTTGTAAGGGGATTGTGTGACTGGGGAAACTGGAAGAAACTCACCCGCACCACCCACTACTGTCTCTTGGGCACCACCTGCATCGCCTGTCTCATTTAGTCATGGTCCTTCGTAAACACATGTATCTCAATTCTAACCTTGTCTCTCTTCGCCAGGGGCACTCTGCCTCTGCCATTGTGTCGACATCCTGGTGGTTGGTGGTGGTTTGGCAGGAGAGTGGCAGCGAGTTGGCGGTTTGGTGGGGGAAAAGGCTTAGTCGTCGCCGCACACAACAATAGATCTTAAAAAAGGTTTGCATGCTACCTGGAAAAGAGGGGAGACTTTGATCATTGTCGTCCGGCCGTTATTTATTGTTGTGAAATGGACCTGCCGAGCTGTGGACCTCAGAAGGCATTCCGGAACGCTTCAGTTACCCCTGAAGTTCCTATCCCAAGTCCTTCCACGCTTGTACTAGGCCTTTATTTTACTACCCAAAGGCTAAGTCACGTAATTGGGAATATTTGTGAAAAGAGCCATCTGGCCACCTCAGTGAATCCTGGCACCAATACCAATCGTAGTAGTTAATTTCTTCTGCCGAGACTCTGATTTGTACAAGAACACTACCATTTCCTCGATAAACAGCCCTCCCTCAGTCTCAGTCCTCCAGGCTATCCTTGGAAGACCGGCAGTCCTTATGTCTTGGCGATGGTTCTTGTCTTCTTGTGTGGACCTCGCCCCCCTTCCCCCCCCAAAAAAGGTGAAAACATGGTGTTGGGAGTTGTGGGGTCGATCCTTCGAGTCCTTTTGGGGGTCGAGGCACCGGAGACCCAGGGCAAAGTAGGGAAACAAAGACGGATTGGCGCCGAAAGTCGTTCGTGAAGGCGCCCCTGATGGGGACGGAGTGGTGCCAGAACATCTCGAAAAAATACA